GAAGACATAAAATATTAATATTTGTCTGGTGGTCATAAGGAGTCTTATGTTCAACAAAAGTAGTGTTTTTCAAAGTCTCGGTTTTTAGAATGTGTGCACAAGATGTTAAGAGAAAGCATGTGTTCATGTGCATAAAGCTTCTTGATGAATAGGAGCAGGGGTAGGGGAAAATGTAATTGTGTACTTTATTCTAGTTTTTCCATTCTGCTCTGCTAGCATGAAATTTGGACAATAAATCGTTCAAACTGTTTAACTTCTAGTAGAAAATGAGGAAATGGTGGAAGGGAAAAAAATTTAAAAGTCGTTGAAGGACCCAGACAGTGCATTTTCAAATTAATGTGACAGCATTATATTTTACTCAGGCTTAAAGCCCCCAAATTATTGGCAGAAGGCTGTTATTCCTTTATTAACTTTAATGAAAGTTGGATATCTGAAGTTGTTTGCAGCATCCATTTCTCCACTGCATTTTGATTAGAAAGAAAATCATAACTTTGTTGGATGTAACAAGCAAACTTGCCTACTTCTAAAAAGGGGATAATTTACAGCTAGATAGTATGAAGTAGTGACTGGCTTTTAAGTCTGAAAAAATTATAATTTTTGTAAAGTAAAAGAATTGTGATTATCTGTCATTTTTCCTCTAATATTTTTTTCCTAAACATTTTGAGAATTTAGGGAAAAGATTAGCTTTAAGTAGTGTGGTTGGCTTCCAAAATAGATAAACCATCTCAAATTTGGTGAAATGATAGAAGTAATCTGCTGCATCAACTTTTAAAAATAATTTCAGATTTGAAAGATAGAATTTTCTTATAATGTTAATAGAGGCATTATTGAAAATACTTTTCTCCTGAAGAACGTTTATGTAGGAATAATGTGGTTTCTGTGGGCTTGTTGATTTTGGGTGGGTTTTTTTTTGCTGTTGGCGGTGGGTTTTTTCTCCTTTGGTATGCATCAGTGTGCTTACAGCGTAAGCTTTGTAATTTGCTTTTTGAGGAACAGATGTGTTAGTTGTCCCCTCAGGTATGTATATGATATTAACTTTTATTTTAGAGTCTTAAGTAATGTTAAAGAGTACCTCTGAATGTAATCTTGTTTCTTTAAATTATTGGGATATAAAAATGTTACCCTTTTCTACATTAAAAACCCCCAATAAAATACAGTAAATTATTCAGAGATGATACAATGGGAAATTGGTTATTCTCTTGATTCAGAAGGTTGGATAATTGAGTTGGATTTTTATGTCTACAAAAATCAATGCCTAGGTGGACTTTGGAGGAATGCCTATAAAAAGACTGGCATTTGCATTAAGTGGCAGTACTAAATTTTCGACTGAGTCACAGATGGTGTTTTCCAGTGTTTCATTTTTGTTTTATCATCTTGCATCAGCCTATATGTTATGGCACAACAGGCTGAAATAATGACGTAGATTTTACTTTTTTTGTATACTAAATTCATGCTTCTGTTGGAAGTGATGACAGCGACATAGAAATCCTGAATGAAACCTAGAACCTCTCTATTTGTTTTCTCAATATTTCTTAGACCTCAGCTTATTTAAATGCAGGATTTATTAAATATTTAGTAAAGGCAGTAAGCAAGGGTTTTGTTTTCCTTTGTGACTCGTTTGGTATTTTATTAACAAAGGATTTCTTGTGGCAGTTTTTTCTTGTTTTAAACTTGGAGTTTACTGAGATGTGGAAACACTTGGCCTTTCTAGAAGAAAAGATGTGGTGGGGTTGTGGGGGTTTTTTAAGGGTGAAGGGACTTGGTGTTTTTATGATGGCATGGATGTTATTAGTTTTTATTTTAATACAGAACTTTAAAAAGCGTTAACAGGGAAAGAACTGAGAATACTTAACTTTTTGAGGACTTGATGTTGAAAAAATTAATCTCTTACCTTCTTGCAAGCATGGCTGTTTCCTCTAGTCTGATTTTTGTTGTCTTGAGAAGTTTTAAACCTTTAAGGTTTTCACACTGTTCTCAGTTTCTTCATGCTTTCCAGTTGAATTAATTGCAAGACAATATCAAAGCTGGTATCCTTAAAATGTTAGCATGAGAAATGTGTTTCACACACTTCTCTTTCTAATGAGGTAAAGAAAGAGACCTCTCCATTATGCCCACACTGAGCATCTGGGAGATCAGAGTGAGTGGTTCACCAAATACTCATATGAAACAGTTGAAACGTAATACTAAATAAAGCTAAATGAGCTAAAAGAAACCGGTGCACTTGTTCTGATGCACTTGTCCTCAGAAGCATACTTATATATTCTTCAGTACACTTTGGTCCCCAGTGAGGTAAAGCAGCTTTCAGTGTTTACTTATTTTTAAAAGCATATATGGGTAACAAGCTGATAAAGATGGTAGAACACCAGTCTCCTCCTCCTCCTTCTCTCTGACAAATGATATCTGGAAGATAGCAGCAGCAATTCAATTCACTCTTCAGAAAGCATATTCTTCTCTCAAGCCTTCCTAGGCAAATGAAAGCCTTTTGAAAAAAATCCTGTCAAAGATTTTAGCAGTCTTGACTTCTCTAGCCTGTACTCCAACTGTGCACAACTTAACCATTCAAACAGAAACCTCTGAGAATACATAAAGCTTTAAGCCATGAGTGCTCCCCATGCTGGAGGGACTTTTTTTTTGGGGGTGGGGGTGGGGGTGGTAATTCATGGTTATTGTTTTGATCAGAATGTTTTTGACCACAAACATCATCTTGAGAAAAGCAAAGGGAATAGTTTGTACCCTGTAGCTGAGTTATACAGCAGTTAGTTCATGAACCAAAATGTATCATTACTATCATCCAGTCAGCATTATCATGAAAACTGTCAGATTTAAATGCTTAAGAGAGCTCTTGTAACTGTTGCCATGGTAATAGCAGAAGGGCAACATGGTAGTTTTGATCCATATCCCATGTTTAGCTAAATTCCTTTGAAGTCATTTAACTGTGAAAGGAATTGCCATGTTGTGCCAGGTTAGGTTTCTTTTGAGTTAACCAGGGCCAAATGCAGAGTGGGATGAATTCTTTCTTTGAAAATGAAACGTAAATCCTAGATACAAGTGATCTAGTTTTCTTTACTTTTGGTTTGACTGTGTGCTGAGAATCCTATATGTTAAATAACTCTGTCAAGTTACTGACCTGCTGTTTGTGCCATTGTGTCATGCCTTGTAATTACATTGGTTCAGGCCATAATAAAAAGCAAGTACACACTACAATCACAAACCAAGAATTTTGTTAGCAGAATGGATTTACCTAATAGATTTTTGTTTTCTCCAGAAGGGGAGAGGTTCAAACACTTATCACTTGAGATTCAGATCCTGCTTGCTATTTTGGCCTTACTTTTAATGTTTTCCCTTATCAGTGAGCCTGCCCTATATTTTTTTAATCTGCTATGTTTTTAGTTTCACTCTTCTGTCTTCTGACATTCAAGAGCTATTTTAACAGTTGTGCTGTAAGAAGTTGTTCTCCAGAGCCCTCCCTCAGCCTCCTGCCCCGGAAAGCCTTTGACTTCACTCCTGTGGTGGATACAAAGCAAAGACAATGTTCTCTCCTTTCTGACCTACATTTTCACAGTGCAGCGTGGCATGGCTGGCAGTGCAGTTTCCCTGCCTCCCTCCTTCCCCCCGGTGCTCTCCTCACAGAGTGGCTAGGTCTTGCGAAGCGGAGGCGGAACTTGATGGGCTAGAGTTGCAATCTGTAATACAGCAAGTGTCATGGCTATTTGGGTATGATCCGCAATCTGAAATTATTGTGGTCAGCAAGGGTGAGACTGTGTGCCACCCAAATTGCATGCTGTTTTAGAAGAATAAGCTGAAATGAAAAGAACAATAATGCTCTTAAAATTTGATAGGTGCAGTTATCTTAGTGTAATTGATTGCCCAATGTTTATTTGTGTTATTTGACAAAGCATAAAATAGGGATTGAGAAATGGGTTTTAAAATTAGAAAAATGTTAACAATGCTTTTGCAAATCAGTTACAAGCCTGTTCTTGCACAAATAATAGCACAATTGTTCTTGCACAAATAATAATTGCACAACTGTTCTTGCACAAATAATAGTAATAGCACAAATGTAAGAAGTAGTTTCTATATTAGCATCTTCCTTCTCCCTTTCATATCCTCCTAGAAAGTTTTCACACATTGCAATGAGTATTCATTGAAGAGATAAGATTTTCTTGCACTGTGGGATTATGTAGGTATTTTAGATTGAAGTATGATTGGGGATTGTATTAACCTATCAGGAAATTTAGTAGGGATGTGGAGGCAGTCTAGAAGTAATGGTTTCTTGGTGCTTCCCTCCCCTTCAGTGCCTGATTTAGTTAATGCAAGTCTTGACATGTTAATATATTCTGAAAATATTTTGGAAAAATACTGACACACCTTATATTATTGCATTGCAAAGAAAGCAAATTTTAAATTACTGTCTAGTAAGTTTAACCTGAAATCCAGTCAGTCTTACCTCTTCTAGATCACTGCCATCATATAAATTTTAAATTTACAAGACACAAAACTAATTTATAACATTTATGTGAAAATCTTAATGGACACTGAACAGACCAACCACTGGGGTTGCAATTACTTTCACCTGTAATTTATTTCAGACTAGAATAGGTTGTGAACTTTATCCATGAAAAATCTGTCTATAACTCATGATAGGATCAATTGTATTACACCAAAACCTGCAGTTGTGCATTTTTCTATGCTCAAATCTATTGCTGTGTGATCTGCAAACAACCGACATCACTGTTTTAATTGGAGATGTGAAAGGAACAGTTCTGTTGTTGGTTAATAACAATTTTTTGTGGGACTTCATTTTGGTCATCTATTATTAATGTGTAAATCTCAATTTAGTTTAAAGTTAAATAAATAGGGAAAAATGATGGAATTCCAATTTCTCATTTTTGTTACCGTTCTTCACTTTTCAAGATTTTTCTTTGCCATAATGATGGTACTGATGACAATGCATTTTTTCTTATAGTAAATTCTGAGTCATGATTTCTTACAGACACACAGAGAATTAAAAACATTTAAAGCAAATACTGAGGTGTAGAAGCTTGCATAATGAGTAAACTAGCTATATCCTTTTTTTTTTTTACTGCATTGCAGACATGTTAGACTTTTAGATATAAGCTAGTATCACACTGCTAATGAAAATGAAGGTTTTTGTCTTGCTTTATAAGGAAAGGAAGTGAGAGAACTTGTCAAAGATTTTAATGATATAAATAATTATTGCACTATTTTTAACACAAACTGTTGTATATTCTAGTAGAGTGAGCAAATAGCTTAAATACAAGCTAGAAAACAGTAAAAACATTCAGAGAATGGAATGTAGATCTTTCATTCCATAATTGCATATTTCATCGTACAAGCTGTCCCTCCTGCTTCTGAAGGCTTTGTAATGAACTGTGGAAGAAAACAGTACTTGGATAGAAACGATGTAAGTAGCCTTTGGCTGTCTTGTGATGATTCAAATATTTTTATAGAGTAGTTCCAACTTACACCCAAACATTATTAAAAATTTTAAAAAACGGTGTTGGACCCTTAAAAGGTCATTAAAAATGGCTTTTTATATTTAACATCTCCTCGCTAGTATTCTGACTACCAAGCAGTTTGATATCCTGAAATTGTAGGCATTGTACCATAATTCTGCCAAGCTTGGACAGACCAGCATCATGTGTGAGCTCCAAAGTGGAGTACCCAAGAGGTGGTTTGGCTGCCAAACTTCATGATTCAAGTGCCAAACTATTTAAGGTTTAGTTATTAACCTCTTGGACTATATCCAGACATTTTGAACTAGCCAGAGTTGGTAAAATCCAAGTAGAATACATTACAGTCAAGCTTGAAAGTGCTAAAGGCAGGGAACAGCACAAAGTCCCCTCCAAGAGGATGAACTGTGTTCTTGGCCAGCATTACTTGGGGAGAGGCCACTTACGGGACTGTACACCTTCCAGAACCAAATAGCTCTGAGTAGTACCTGGCTTTCCACTCTCACTCTGGTTGTCTAAAACTTGCGCCATTGTGCAAAGCTTGTGTAATAATTAGCTTAAGCCAGGTGGCTTTCAGCTGGGATATTAACTGTGGTCTGTGTTAGCTAGAAGGAAGCAGTCAGGTTGAGTGTGAAGAAAACTACAAATGGGTGCTGAAAGAACACTCCTAAAGTCTACTTCGAATGCAACTTGCATCTCTGTGTCACATGAACACCAATAGTCATCACATAAACTAATTGGATGCACTTTCAATCTAGTTAGAGAAATCTCTTATACAGAGAGATATTATTTTTACACATTTACTTTCCCCAGAAATTAATATTTCTAGAACTTGAGGTATCTTGGAAATGCATAAATGTATAATTCTCATACCTCAAATACAGCAGATAACAAAATTTAGTGGAGGATCATGTAGAAATGGTGATGAGTAAATTTGCATTCCTATCTTCAATAGGAGCTCCTAGAATTTCTTCAGAGGGCTAGTGCAGTGCAATAAAGTCTGTTCATGTATATAAGTTCCTGCATACAAACATCTTTACAGTTGCTCAGAGTGCTCAGTAATATTTGTCATCTTGTTACAAAGAAAAAAAAAACTGCTGTGATCTGTGTGTTGTGCATGGTATGAAAACTAGGTTTTAAGAACTAGGGAACTCTAGAAAAGTCAAGTAGTGCTAAAGCTAGAAATTTTCTTCCTGAGCAGCTTTCCCATGAAAAGTGAAATCTGAAGACCATAAATATAATCCATTTTATTAAATAATAATAAAAGTACATCAAATATTTGTATCTTATCCAATTAAAAAGTCCCAGTCAAATGGAAAGCTAATCACAGTTCCATCATTTGCTGCGAAATCAGAGGTGGGTACTGCTTACCCTGGCACTGTGACAAACAGTAATAACTTGATTCTGATACAACTCTGCTATAACTCTGTTGGAAGATAAGCTTTGAAAGTTCTGTTTGATAGAAAACTGGAAACCTGTGAATAGATCTAACCTACTTCTCAGAATTCATTTTCAGTGGTACATGTTGTGGCTTTAATTTTTAAAATTGCTTAGATTTTGTTCCTGCCCATATTGTGAAGTGGAACTCACAATCTTATGACTTAGTCTTTCCCACCTATAAAGTAAGGTGTGTGGCTTTATTTAACAGATCTGTTTTCACTTGACTTCTTTTTTTAGCAGGCTGGAAAGAGCAAAATCGACAACCATGTGGTTTGTTTTCTCCCTCTTTCCACAAAATGGAACATGTTCGAGACTATGATGAAGGCCTTGAAGTTCTGGTTTGCATTTCTGATCAGCCTTTGAGTTACCTTGAAGTTATGTAAGGAAATTAATAGCAGATTAAATGAATTTGCATGAAGATGCCAAGATGAATGTTACTTGGCGCCAGATTTTAGGAGCTCTAGACTTCTAGAGAATTAAGTAACTTTTAGTCAGCTCTTTGAAGAGAATCTAGTTGAATCTAGTACACCACTTGCATTTCTGAAGGTGATGTACAAAGTGTCAGTCTTCTGAACTTTGATTTCATTTATCCCTACTTCCTAACCAAAATAAGCAACCTTCCTCAAACAGTACCTACTTTAAGGGAGTACTTAGTGATTAGGAGTTCATGGTAATGTCTTACTAAATTGTAAACGTGACATTGTGACATGTATTGTACATTAAATAATTTTAATGTGGCATTTGAAGGTGAAACTGAACTGCCCTTTGTGCATTTCCATAGTTTTAAATTTTTCATTTTGTAGCAATTCTAGATAACAAGAAATCATTATACTGAAGAGAACTAGAACTATGAATTAATTTTTTAAAAATAAAATTTTAGTGTGGAAAATATGCTCAATTATATTTTATTGGCACATAAATCAGCAATTGTACCACCAAAGTGTGCATGCTTATTACTGCACATTAACACAAAGATCCTTATATACCATCATCTTTTGTCCTCAAATTTGCTGGGAAAACCTTTTGGTTGTAGTTTCATAATATTAATGTTATCAAGAGCTATACTTTTTTTAACTTAAAAAAATAATTTTCAGACTCCACTATGTGATGGGGATCAACTAAAGGCTGTCCCATTAAGCTCATCCATTTTCACTGTACATGCGTTCAGCGGTATTTACAAATTGCACATGGAGTACGTTTGACAAGAGGGAGCATTATCCTTCTAGTGCAGTTTACGATGGCGATACCTGCCTGCTTTTTCTTTTGCTGCATTGGCACAGGCATTGTGCTTATTTTGTTGTAAGTGGTTCCAGTATTTGATCAGTTCACTAGGTTGGAACTGATGGGAGGTAATTAGGTGGCTATATTTACAGCTAGAGTAAGAAACTCGCCAGTGATTGAAGACAAACTCGTTGGGTGGAGGCATAGGGTCAATTCGCAGCTTGGCAAGACAGATCCCCACGTATACATCCTCTAAATGTAAACGTCTGATGCTTAAGGAGACTTTGAAGATTTTTTCTGCTAAATCTCCAGAAAAAACATAACCAGTTCCAGAGCAGAATACAGGATAACGTTCACTTGGATACAAATCAGGTGGCATATACCACTTACTATCCTTGTTCCTATTAGGTGCATAACCTCTCATTAAATAACCTGTAAAATACTTGTGCCTTGGAGGAAGTTCTGGTTTCAGAAGCTTATGTATTAAATATTCAGTATTGACAAACATATCACTGTCAGTTTTCATAACATATGGAACATGTGGACAGTAAGATGCAACCCAGTTCATTCCCATCAGAGTTTTAATGGTTAAATTATAGTAGGTGTCTAAGTATTCTTGTTGAATGATGTCATGATACTGTCTGCTTTCCTCTAGTATGGTACGCTGGAGGTACCCATTTATCTTGATGTTCAACCCCAGCAAAAAAATACGGATAATTTGGATGCCAGGTGTCAGGCTTTCGTTACCCCAAGTTTGTCGAATAGCTTGTCTAGCTTCCACCTGGCCTGGCTCTGCAGCTATGAGCAGTATTAGAAAAGGAGTCTTCTCCTGACACTTCTCAGGCTCATTGATGATATATTTGAAATGATATGAAGTCGGATGCCCAGTGCCTTTCTCATAAATACTTCCATTAGCACTGAGGGTATTTTCCAAACCGGTTACTCCCTGTGGTGACAGATCTGTGTTGTTGGAGTTTGTGACTGTTTGAGGCCTGAGCGTCTGAGGTACGGTGTCTTTCCAAGCATTCCTTAGAGAGCTGTGGTTTGTCTCACTTTTTGTAGATCTAAATCCTCGTATAGTGTAAGCCATGGGATTTTCTTTGAATCCAGCCCTGCCTGGCAGCCAGTCATGATGGTTAAAAAACAAAAACATAGCAAAAAGAAATACAAGAGAGATGAGACCAATGAGATGGGTACGAAACAGAGACCTTTTGGTATTCCAGGTCATCTTTGCAAAGCAGCAGTGTCGTCTTCTCCACTGAAGCATGTTGTAAAAATCCAATGATGGGATATGAGACAATGGACAGGCAAAATGCTCTTCCGATTGGTTTTGAATCCACTGCTATTCTTTGGTATTCATTTTCTTTTGTTCATGTCGTAATTGTCTGCAAATGGCTCACTCTGCAAAGATTTAAAAAAGGAAAATCAGAAATCTTTAATTTTACACACTCATTATAAAAGTTGCAATAAAAAAATAGATATTAACATAAAATTGAGCACAAGTTCTTTTTAAAAACATACCCATGTTAATATAAACAAGGTCTGATCTATATTAAAAGCCAACCTTGTTTTATGGTTAAATTTGACTTGATTGTTAGCTTTTTTTTTTTAAATAGTAGAAGTTTTGAAAACATCCTGGGTATCAAAGGTAAAAAGGAATAAAAATAAATTGATCATTTTAGCGGAAAAAGTGTGAAGTAGATATAAGTAGGTTCACGTATACTGACTGTGAAACCCTTATACAGTGTTTGAGAAGACTGAATGAACAGGCCTTGATACCAGATGGAAGGTTTATTGGCATTAATTAAAATTGATTTGACATGCAGAGGCTAGTATGGCTCACAGTTTAAAAACCCTTTTTGTAAAATGGTCATGTATTGGTGATGGGACAGACGGCGCAAGGTTGATTATGGCAGAGTTGTGTTAGTCACAGTACACTGCTTGGCGTGTTTCCACTGGCCCTGACTGTGTTCAGAAAGTCAATGAGAAGATGCACCTGTCAAAATTAATTTTCAGGGTCCAGTAACCTCACTGCACAGCCCTCAGATACTAACACAGGATAATATTTTTGGTAACCTTTCAGGCACCTTTAACCTTCTACTCCACAGTGAAGGAACATATTGAATGGAATACTACTTGGCTGTTTTGCCAGTCTCACATGAATTAAAATTAAGCTGGTGATTTTTAGTAGGCAGAGGTCTTGGGTAAATGTTCATATTAACTGGAAGTAAAACTGCACAACACAAAGTTTCTGGCAAACTATCTGATGAACATGAGTTTTGGTTTTTTTTTCCTCTGTATATGTAACTACAATACTTCACAGGGAAATTTCAGGTATTGTTACCAGCAGCTGTAGCTGTAGGAAAAAGTGCCAAAGTAGTCTGTACTTCATTTTCTTTTACATTTTTTTCATATTCAAGAGCAGAGTCAATATGGCAGCTTCATGATGCTGCATATTAAAAGCTGATCACATCATCTCGTAAATGAACCTTTCAGCACACAGTAGCAATTCGTTTGTGATTTTCAATTTGCTTTAATTTATTTCTAGGCCCTAGGGTTTTGTATAGGAAAAAAAATGACAGTTGAACAAGAGTCCGTAGAAAATGCTATTTCTAATATAAATGTGTAATTTATTAATTGCTATTTTCTAAAACCAATATTTGGATTAATTTATGCATTTAAAATCTAAGTGACATGTTATATGGGAAATTACAGGATTTTACATAGTAAGGAAGTAATTTAAGATGAGAAGGTGGTTGAGTAATATATTATTAGATTGTATGCATGTGAATTAACATTCAATCTGCCTGGTTCATGTAAGGGGAAATTTGTATTTCAAAAGGGTAGGGAGAGACATGTAACTAAGGTTTATTTTAATTGCTGTATGTCAGGTTATGTATAAACAAAATAACGTGTGTGCAGAAGATGCCTCATTCACAATATTTGGAAGCAAGGGTAAGGTAGTATTGCACTGAGCCGGAATTGTCTCTCTTCCGAACCTCCGCTAGGAGGAGCAAGTAAGTGAGGATTTTAACTGTGCTTTGTGACAATGTAAACCTGTATGAAAAGGAGACACTGCTCTTTCACTTTCTAAAATAGCAAAATATTTGCCTAAGGATCTATTAAGCTCTTCCCTGTCATTGTCCTGTTACACAGCATTCATGAATTTTGTTTTAAGGCTCATTGCAAGTATTAGTTTCTTTTAATTTTTATTCTTTTAAACTGTTTGAGACTAAAACCATTTAACCACAGACTAAGCTATCTTTCTAAAAATTATTTTCTAGTCTACAGCTTGTTAAACGTGTGTCTAAAGTATGTACCTTGAGAATTAACCTGAAATTCCACACTATTGTTTTTATGCTGCTTTAACTCAAGACATTATTCTTCTGTGAAATAAAATAAGACCCAAATGTAGAAGACATATTTATCTGACCACTTGCACCTGCTTTTGTATGCTTAGAAAATAAAAGCCTGCCCTCAAAACTAATAATTTTTACTTCGTTTGCAGTGTGCAGTGAGTTTTAAATGAACACTCAGCTATTTGGGAAGACTATCTCTACATAAGCAAACATAAATGTCACTTCAAAGGGTACCTTAGATCTCAGGGAAATTAATTGTTTGATACCAGTTTGGAGGGCAACAGTGGGAGTATTTCATTAATTATTGTTCCATTGCATGTGTACGCAGTTTAGGAAAAAAGTCAAAACCAGAATTTCACGACTCTGGAGTGGCAGCTAGAATTCAGATTAATTTTGTCACACTGAATTGTTCCACTTCTAAAATTGCAGTCATTTGATGCTAATGCTTCACCAGATCTGCACTACACTACTGTTCTGTGTTTAATTTTTAATTGAGGTAGTGTTCTGTTGTGCACCTATTTTTATAGGTGAAAAGTGAGAATCTTAAGTAAATTTTTTTGTAAACTGGCAATTGTTTTCAGGTGCTGTCTTTCTATGATGCATGAGGAAGTGTCTTTTTTTTTTTTTTTTTTTTTTTTTAAGCTGCATGCTCACATTGTGCACATTAAAATAAGTTTTACAGTGAGGGATAGAACTACAAGCATAAGAAATGTAGAGTGTAATTTCCCACTTACATATTTCCTTGATTTTTTTTCAAGTTGAGAGTTTCCCTAGAAAATCTTCAATCTCTGTCTGCCCTTTAAAAAGGCATTGTATGGATAGGGGAAGGACCCACATCTAATTCTAAGCTTCATAAAACTATTGACTGAAAAGAGCAAATAACTTTGTCTCATTTTCTTTGTAATGCAAGTTTAAAACATTTCAAAATATGCCATGAATATTAAGCATTTGAAATATAGCAATAGCAATTGCACCCTTGAAAAAAAAAAAAACATGCTAAGATGCATGGTTTAAAAATAATGGAAACAATTGTCAGCATATATTTAAAACACCATTAAATAGTATCATAGAAATATTATCTTCTTTCACTTTAATTAGGGTTAGAGCATTACTGCTTTTGCCCAAATATTTAAAATTTCATTTCACAGAAGGCTTATGAATGTGCACCAACCATTGACAGTAGATAAGAAAACTAAGTATAGCAAAAGGTCTCTATACAATCACCTTGTCCTCTGAAAGTGTGTTGTTGCAGGTAGCTCTGTGTTTTGAAGATATGATTTATAAAAGTTCTACTTCATTTTTGGTACTTGATTGTGCAGTCACTGATGCATTATCAAATGACAGATACATAAACTGTGAATGCTTCTTGAATTTTTATTTGTGGTCTGTGCTCTGCTGGTGTTTCGGTTCCTTGTACTTTCAGTTCTTCTCTATAATTACAGCTTTGCAGATTGAAGCATTTGACTTCCTATTCACACATCCTGGATTTTCATATTTTGATTAGCGATGTGGGCAAACTTTTTAATTAGAGGGAAGAGTTCAAAAGGCAGCCTGAGTCAGTATTCTGATAAACAGTGGCAGCAGTTGAGTATTAGGCCTCACATAATGTGCCTGAGCTCATTTACAAACTGCATTAATCTTTTGCACAAAACAGTACTTGGGATGAGGTTTGATATGCAAGTTTTTAAATGTCAGATACGAAAGTCACATCACTAGCTCTGCATTGTTCTCCAGGAGTATTGCCTACCGGTAGATTATTTTTTTTAAAAAGTTCTGGAAAGTGACTTCATCTTCTGAATGTCTTAGTGATCTGAAACCAGTGGCTGTTGTATGCTGCTTCCCTAGGTATATGCAGTCTTTACAGTTGCAATTGTTTTATTGCATGTTAGCATTGCCTTGGGCAAAGAAAGCACATTTATATTGACATTTAATGATTTTAGCTCATTGGTAGATTCTGCAGATAAGCACTTTCTTTCTGTGGTGTATTGAATTGCTATAGATTTAGGTCTTAAATTTGTATTGCAAATATTCATCTTGTTTGTTTGCCATTAGTGACGAAGTATTTAGATTTTAACAATAAATAGAAATGAATGGCAATTAGATGGAATATCATTTTACAATCCAAGTCAAACAGTCAGTGTTTTCATATTAAACATAAATTGTAATGATGGCATGAGATAAGTTATGTGCTCACCATTTTGAGAGTGTATAGTGTTTGAAGGTTTCCTTTTGGGATGTCAGGGGAGCCTGATAGTACTTGTAAAATGTGGTGCCTGATTGCACTGCTGATGGTTTAAATCATGTCCAATCTTCTGCACGCTCCCAGTTTATGCTTGGCTGATACTAGCTTGATGACATTTTGCTTGTGTTTCGGAGGGAAAAAGCAAGTGTAAAAAGATCTGAAGGTACTTTTAAGATAATATAATTTGACTGGTCTGTTTTGATGGTTCAGTGCTCTCAGTATGTCATGTCATATGGACATTTTACCAGTGCTTTAAGATTACTTCAGATAAGGATTAATTCTGACCTAGTTTGAGAGAATTTCTCTTTTACCTATATTGTGAAGGGTTTTGAGTTTTAATTTCTTAGTTAAAAGCAATCATTACAGTAGCTACATTATCCCTTTAATCCCCCCTCTCTAACCACACCAACCTTGTGCAGGCTGTAAGCAATTGATTTAGTAGGTGTAAGGTAGGGGTATTGTGCTGTGGGAGAGGGAAACACAGTAGAATTCTTTCTCCCTGTTCAGAGACATGGTATCTCAGGGCTCTGCAATTAGCAGCGATCATTATCTGTAATGGCTGAAAAGCTAATAGACAATCAAATGAGTATCACACACAAGGATTTGACATACCTTCCTTGGTCAGGCCATTGATGGTGCGAGGATTATACCCACAGAAAATAGTTTTGGCACGCCATCACTTCAGCAAAAATGATGCTATCGAACATGCGCACATCCCCCAACAGTCTGCTTCCTGCGATTGCTTTTCACAGTATCCAATCTGTCCATCTGTCTGCTCGTTGCTGTGTTACCTTCCTTGCTTATAAGTGTTGTCCTTGTCTTGGGGCTTTTTGTTCATCCTTCAAACAAAAGGACAGTAGTTCTCGTTTCTGTTCTGATCGGGGCTGTCTGGCATTCACGGCCGATGTATTGGAGCTTTTACATCTGGTGTTTCCCTTGTCGGACAATGCAGTGCTGTGTTCTCTTCCCCTCAGTATCCATATTTCTAATGGTAATGTTAGCAGGGAGTGCTAGTGTGTAGTGGTTCAGTTGCCTTCAGTAATAGGATTTCCCTCTATTCCTTCCTTCATTGTTGCTAGGCAGTAATAGAAATGGGTTTGAGCTGATTTAACTGAGGATTCTGGTCTATAAAATCCATTCCGTAGTTCTTCAGCTGCTGCACAGGCAAGCAGCAGTTTAAATGTGGGCTTTGACAGATGCTGTCTTCTGACAGAGCAGAATTTAACGTCATTGCTTGGCTGAATCCCACGTGATTGTTTGCATTCATTTTGACTAAATCGAAAGGCAGCCAGAAAGCTGTACAGGCTTTTGCTCCTATTAGATAAATGTTACATACTCAGTTCAAGCACAATGATAGGTGAATAGTATAAAAATTGTATGATTATTAAATGCATGATTGAGGGTTTTTTCAAATTGTTTTCGCTTTTCCTTGATGCTGTAACTTGTGATTCCTTAGGGGATTTTTCATGCTAGACATTCTATTCCTGTATTGCAAAGCTGTTCTGCAGTGCAAAGGAATTATAAGCATTTAAATTCCAAAGCTTTATTTAACCCATTTGGCTCTCTTCAAGTATAAATCTTTTGTGCCTTCATAGCAAAGAAAAAAATAAGAATTTATTTCTTTGCTCATACTTGCTTTACACATGCTTACTCTATAAAAGCTGCTTTTTGTAATCTTAGGTTAGTCAATTAAGCTGGACAACACTAATGCATAAGCACATGCTGTTAAGCTGCCTTTATGCTGCTAATGGCTTTCTTCCTCCGTAGAGGTTGAAGTCTGGTATTGCAGAATTGGGTGCACTTGATTTCAATTATTGATGCATCTAAAATGTCTTTTATCTGTTATAGATATACCTATATTATAGAATCTGTTTTTCTGGTCCTGATAAAACTTGTGTTCCCTTCGTTTTTGTCCTTTCAGTGACTGACTCTTTTATTCTGAACCATCTTATTATATTTATGATATGTTATAAATGAAATATCACAATAGATAGCTCAGAAAATAGAAAGCTACCAGCATACTTAACCAAGTATTTATTAGTTGCTGTGTTTGTTCACTCTATTTTGAAAAGTTAATGACTAGCTCTTTAGTGGTTTGGTGGTTTTTGGTTGGTGGGGTTTTTGTTGTTGTTCAGGTTTTTTGGTGTGGTTTTTTGTTTGCTTTTAGACAAAGAATAAAGAAAATATAATTGCTTTATCATGTGGTATCACTGATCAGTAGGATTCCAGGTGAGTACATCCTTTACCGGCAAATGAAGCTTCCCCAGGCAGTCACTGTGTTTTACTATTCTAGATGCATATTCTGATAATTTACTAGAAACATCCTCCTAACTAAATTGCCTATGTACACTAACTTTCTCTATTAATCTAGTCTAGTCTTGTTTTTAATATATGCATTTCCTATCCTAATGACAATTTCCACAAATCCTATGTTCTTATTTGAGCACACTTAAAGAGCATGAGTGTATTCCCTAAATATTAATTATAAATATAACATGTATACAAGCCAAGCCTTGTATGTCTTCCACTCTTAAAAATTTTTTACTTAAAAAATAGGGGGGGGGGAAATTCTGTCAACAGAGCAGTGGAGCAAGAGAGGAGACACCTATGTCCAGCACCACTTAACCACTTAATATTCTGGGATGTTTATGAATAATCGAGAATCAGTGCTTTGAGAGGTTGCATGTGTGCTCAACCTACTGAATTTGCCACTTAAACACACAAAGCTTTCTTATCCTTACCCTAAATAATATACAGAAGTTTCTATAATCTGTTGCTGTATCTATACAAATAAGTGAGAGTTTGACTAAGAGTATTGTCAGTTTGCTGCATTCTGGTCTATGAGTGGGAAATCAAGTAAGATACTTGCCCATGTTGATTTACATAAAAGCAACTAATGTTTTTTTGAATACCAGCATGTAAATCTGCCTCTGATTTTGAATTTTCAGAGAAGACACATAACACTGTATTTGGGAAAAACCTAAATCCCAGCAGAATGGTTATTAAAATACATAGTGTTCCCGCTTTATTTACTACTGCTTCACTATACCTGAAGTGTATCTCTGAAGGTTTGGGAGTTATATGTAGTAGGCTTATATATTTGGGTGGCCAGAGATGTTTTTTTCTTGTAAATGCTCACTGGTAAATATTAAAGGTACAAAAACCCCAAGGGCCACTCTTTTATAAATATAGCCTGTTTTAAAGTAGTTTTAGAGGGGAACAGACATCACCTTTGGCTTTTAATTATATGACCGTATCGCTTGTGTATAGCTTTTAAGTTCAGGCAGAGCTGTTGCCTGTTGGTATGTGTAAAATTTGTCATCTTGCCTTGTGAACAAATTGAATATTGAATTAATAAATCTTAATGAATTATTTCTTTTGTTCTTTGGTTTTAAAGGAAGAGCAGGCCTTTACTCACCTCACAGAAAAGTAAGGAAAAGGATTTTTCTGCTACTTTCTATCTGGGTGTGACTGATACAGCCTTAGAGAGTCAAAGTTTGAGGAAGAAGTTACTTTTATAGCACTTTATATTTTACTACTTTTAAATGATACTGTATGTTTCTGGGTATTTCTGGAGGACAGAGCTTTCCTTGTACTGGAAATATGACCTGAAGATTTCAGTAATCTTGCAATGTTAGTGCTTGAAATGCTGCCATCTATTAAGACTATGAAGGAGTTACTCTGACGTGAAGATGTGCAGTGTGTGTGTAAGGAACACTACAGAGATACTGTGGCCAGTGAAAGCTTGACTATTCAGTGAGTTCTGTAAAGCTAGAAGCAGATGCAAGGAGTCAGAAGAGATGTGTGCTTAGAATACCTGGGCATGTGACAGCTGTGAACTATGCAAAATGAACTAGTTCAGAACAGAGGTGTGTAAGTTTGGAATATTTTCTTCAAGAAACTTAAACTTTCTACATGTCTAACTGGTTTTAAAGTAAACCAGACACTAAGGTTGAGCTGTTAAATAAAGTTCTCTATTGACACCATTAATAGAAGTTTCTCAAATCAGTTGAGAGTGGTTGGAAGTCAGGTGTGTACTGTGTGATCTGGTGGCCAGGAGTCCCACAGAAGTTAAATTATACGTTTACCTGTCAACTATACGCTGACCTGTTGACTGAATGTTCCCATATGGACCGTGCTTTCTGGATACTCCATGAATACAAAGATTATTCCATTTTATCATAGTAAAATGTATTATTTCAGCTGCAATATGTTGAAAACCTTTCAAGTGACAGTTCAAAATGATTAATGGCAGCATTTTCAAGGTTGGTTATTTTTGCTTTTAAACTTCCGGAAATATGTTAATACAGAATGTCATAATGCTTAGTTTTAATTAAGTGTGTTAAGAATTGTTATGCATGTGGCCAGGGGCTATTCTGTTCTGTGCTTCAAAAGGCATACTTCTTCCATAAGTCATTTAGAGTGGAGAGAGTTGTTGAATATTTGTAATTTACTTGTCTACTTTGTGATCCCAACATGATTCTTAACTAGCATGTTTGTAACTGAACGAAAAATAGCAATCTAGAAATGACCACAAGTGTCACTATTGCCTGCCTTATTTTCCTTAGCAGATTTTCACTGTTGCTTAGCTAGTTGAGAAAACCAGCTTACACTTCCTATATTTTTTTATAAATGGTCATGATTTTGCACTCTATTCTAGTAACACCCAAGTCATAAATTTAGTAATTTCATTAATCTTGGAATGTCTTCAGTTTAAAACAGAAGTGAAACAATATTGATCAGTCAGAAATGGTGGTAGAACAAGACAAGGTTTCAGTTATTCTGAAACATGCATATTTTTGTTTGATAATTAGTAGTTGAGAATTGTTATGTCATTCAGTAAGGACTATAAGCACATCCTCTCACTTAAAGTTGTGAGAGAGAAAAGACCAAGTGATATTTTCAAGTCAGGAGGGTGCTTCTTACTCCGTCTGCCTTAGGAAACGTTTCAGGGGGATATTTCATAATTCTAAAGCTTGTGGGTTTTTATGAAGTAAACTAATGTTCTAGGCATTCAACTGGAATTCAGTCCATTCTCCTGTCAGCTTTTCTGTGAGGAGCACAGGTTTGGAGTGCTTCAAAATTCACTTGAAAAGCCAGAATACTAAATGGTTTCAAACTAGATCTGTTCTGGTTTTGTGTGTTACGCAGATTTTGCCTATTGGTCTACTGTCCAGAAATGTTTCTTTCCTCCATAATGTGTTGTTTGCTTTATCATAGCTTCATTCTTTTCTGTATTCTGATCTTTCATGTCTTCCCCCAGGCTTTGCATCCAGTTATTGCTGATCTCAAGTACTAAATGCAGATTTTTGGTGTTGTGTGTTTTGGTTTGGTGGTTTGTTTTTTTTTTCCCAAGGGATGGACAACATAATTTCATTTGTGTTGTGCAGTATTTTTGGCTGTGTGGTTCTCCCCTGATGAACTGAAATCCAGTGCCAGCAGTAATATTTTCTGCCTGTCACAAGTGTTACTTTTGCATTCTGAGGAGAGCAGGGACTTTGTGAAGCTTTGATTCAGCACAGCAGGGAAGAGGAGTCCAACCAGCAGAAGTACCGAACATTTGCAGGCGGTTTATTTTTCTCCTTACCTTCTGACATACCCCTAACACCCACCCTCACACCCCCAGCTTGAGATTTGAAACAGAAGCTTAAATTCTTACAGAAGGCTAGACTTTCGGGAAGAACTGATACTAAGTATCAAACCTCTTAAAGCAGGAAGATGGCATCCTATGGGAGTTAACAGGCCACCAGCTCTTAAGCCTAAGGAGCAAAATGCATTGTTCCAGCTGTTACCACTTATCCTTGTTTCTGCCCAGTTCATTCCTGCAACAGGCATAGAAAGACCGTTTTTCCTAGGCTATCTTCATGGCTCTTTGAGGCATCCAGCACTTCTCTTCTAATGATTTGAAGAGCCTTGGCCCATCAGATTCATCACCAGGATGTAGACTTCCTTGCCAACACTCTTCCTAGGACAGCTGGGTGAGCCATGTAGATATTTTTTGGAGGGAGGGTGAGGCTGATTAAGAGATTTGTAGCTCCAACTGTTCATCTGCTCACTACATTTTATTTTTTTCCCCCCATTATATATGTCAGCCTCAAAAATTTCTGGTTTTGAAGTTGAAATCGGTGATGCAGATGTTTAGTTAATATTAAATAATGTGAAATTGAAGAGCTGGACTTTCAGATCTGTCTGAATTTTA